TGTAATAATTCCTTCTTTGACACACTAGTTAAACTGTTAAAGATATGGAAAGATATCAAGAATATTTACCCAATAAAATATGGTTTTTGAAAAGGTGAAAGTACAATTATGGTTTGAAAGATTTGTCAGAAAAATCTTTGGATAAAAGCAAGATTGCTTGTGTATTTGTTTAAGGTTTTTCATACAAGAGACCATAATTTGTTAATTTATAAGTTGCAAAATATAGGGGGAAAAAAGTAAGGTGTTATATTTGTTTAAAAATTATATAACTGATTGATTAATTTGTACTAAAATCAGAAATATTTATAGTAATAGTAGGAAGTCACATCTAGTATAACACAGTTTTATTTTAGGCCCTCTTCTTCCAATATATAATATATCAATTATGTTACAATAAACAGACAAGATGCCTTTTACTGAAGTACATTGTTACAGTGTTTCTTGCAATACCCCCCCCCCCTTCTATCCAACAGCTGAATTTAATCCTTAAAACTTTCTCTTTCCAAACAAGAACTAATCTTTTGTTTTTCTTTCTGTAAGTGGATGCTTACACATAGGTCTAGATGGGGAAAAGTTATTTATACTCAGGGAGAGGGAGGATTAATCAATACTACTAGTCGTAAGTCATTGGTTAGGCCACATTTGGAGTGTTGTGTTCAGTCATAGGCTCCTTACCTTAGGAAGAACATTGAATTGCTGGAAAGTGTTTAGGGGAGGGTTACTAGAATGGAGCCTGGGATAGAGGGGTCGTCACACTAGGAGAGGTCGAGATGTCTTAAATTGTTTTCTCTTGAAAAAAAAGTTAGATGGGATCAGATTGAGGCATTTAAAATTGTAAAGGGAATTGATAGCATTGATGCATTATCTTTTGTCATACTTAACAGTCAGAATAGTAGGACTAGGGGACACAAATATAAATTCTGGCAGGGTATGAGTCATCTTCAACAAAGACAGTTTTATTTTTCTAACAGAGTGGTTTGCCTTTGGAATGGGTTGCCTTCGATGTTGTGGAGGCAGTAAATTTAAGTGAGTTTAAGAGAAAGCTTTAACTATATGGATGATAAGGGTTGGCTTTAAGTTTTGATTTATTTTTTATTTATTTAATAGTTTTAGTTTTGTTTAGATGATGGGACAGCCGAGATTGTTATAGCAAGTATTCCTTTAAATTGCTCTTTTTATATGTACATAGATGATATTGCCTTAGTAATAAGTGATTATAATTTGACTTTGGCAATGGACAATATGCAAAGGGATTTTAATGATATTTTGAAATGGCTGAACTTAAATCATACCTATTTAAATACAGATAAATCTGAATGGATTCTATATTCATACAGAATACTTACCATACTATCTTCTTTTGATTGCTAATACTAGATTTTCTTTGACTAAATGTATTTTGGAAAATACAATTAACTTTAGGCAATTATATACAACAATTTAAATATTCAGAAATTATTATAGATTCTAATTTTCAATGGAATACACAAGAACACATGTACCAGATTGAGATTTTATATATATATATATATATAGTATAGTATAACTATATGAATCTACATACAATTCATATATAAGCAAAATATTGCAGTTACAATATAGTATAATAAACAGTCTTTTACCAAAAAACAAAACAAATAATATTGTTGCTTATAAATGATGTATAATTTTGAATGTAATGAGTGTGTTTCAATTATACTATAAGTGTTATGAAGGACAGTAAAAATGGTGTTACAAAGGTAACAAAAACTATTTTAGACA